AGAGAGAGAGAGAGAGAGAGAGAGAGAGAGAGAGAGAGAGAGAGAGAGAGAGAGAGAGAGAATTTCTAGCTTCTGTCTCCTTCACAGAGCTGGAAGGTCATGAGCCTCGGGCCATAAAACTCGCTTTCTTTTCCCTTAAAGCTTGTTTTTATTCCTGCAGAACCTCACTGCTCTTTGACAATTGTCATCATTTAATGAATCAATATAGACTCTCCACAGATGTCCCCTCCTCCCCTCCTCAACAATGCTTTCTTCCACCCCCGTCCAATGCTGCCCTTGAGTTCAAAACACCATCCTAACTTATAGTCCGGTTAAAGTCTGATTTTAAAGTTTTACCCTTCAGTCTCAATCTTTCATGTTTTTTTTATTACCATGAATTTTACAGGCAACCMTCTGAAGTCATCTTTTTTAGAAAGACAGAAACTCCAAACAAATATATAATCAACCAAAGATTTCTTTCTTTTTAGGTGTACAGTTAGAAGTTTTYAGTTCTGTGTTCATGTTTAAATGCATATTTGTATATGATGATGTGATGCGAATGCTTTTCTGTGTTGCGAGCATTGCGGTGACTCTTCTTGGCCCTCTGGTAATGAGCAGTGGTGCCGTGATGTGGCTCGTCTTCACGGTGCCTCCTCCCCGTCCTTACAACACACTGGGTGCTGGTAATTGGTCACGGAGGGGACAGTAAATCTACGCAAGGACGTGGGAGAGACGCAGTGACAAAAAGGCACAGAAAGAAAGGAAGTGTGTGTTTGTGTGTGTGTGTGTTGTAGGAAGACGTAGGTGATAGAGGACAGGGGGTGGTTGTCTTTCATCTTCACAGCTTTTTCTTTAGAAACCTTCAGCTGTTTACAAGGACTGATGTCTATTTGCACGTACACAAAAACACATACTTACACCGAACTCCCCCTCCACCCTTCACAGCCCCCCATAACTCTCTGACTCTCTGCTCCCTCCCACTCATATACAGTAAATGACCTGAGCACGCTACAGTCTGTGGGTATGGATTGTTATCAGACGTCTGCAGCATTGTGACTGTCAAACCCGGACAAGGTTACTTAACCTCCCAGTCTTAATTTCCCTTGCATTTTAGCTCCTTCCTCCATATCAAACATCAGCACATCTATGGGAGTCAAGGAAAAAAAAGAAAAAAGAAGAGTGCGGGAAGGAAAATGAAGATTGCCATGCTTGGCTGAAGCTCGAAGATGAAAGTAGAGGATGATTCACTTTGCTATTGCAAAATGAACTGAACCGAGCTGCGCTATGCTGGGCTGGGCTATTTTTAAACTTCTATAAACTGGAAGAAGACAACGTGAAGCAGAGAGAATCAGTTCTATATCATGAGAGAAGGTATGTGAAACATGGTCTATAGGAGGGTATGTAAAAATTAGAAACTTTATTAAAAAAAATGTGAAGAATTCCAAAATCAATTCTAACAAACAGAAAGTGTCTTAAGTCAGATAAGTCAGAAACTCCTTTTGTAACAATCTAATGTTATAAAATGTCACTGTTTTGATGTATACAAACTATRTCAAAAGAATAAATACTGTAAGATCAAAATAAAAAATTGGCAGTGTAATCAGCAGAAGTGTGTAGTTACAAAGTGCATTTCCTTCGTTATAGTCAGGGTTGCACATAAAATTTTTGGTCTGGTTCTCAGGGGAGAACCTAGGGTTGTTGCTTGGTGCTCACTCATATTTTCCTTCACTCATTTAACACATTTATCTAGAGGGRCGTAAGGGCATCTAACGTCCCCCTGTTCTGTTTTATGACTCCTTTCAGCTGCAACAGGACATCATGCCAAATCAGTCCACCAAGTTTGTTATTTATTTTTTTACTCTACATAAATTTTGTAAACTACCTGAGTGGCCGCGGGGCTGGGTGTATGTCATAWAAACATCACAAACTGAACATTTCATGGTTAAATGTCTTTTAGACTGGACATGTCCCTCAGATGGACA